AAATATAAAATATATAGCACATAGAATAATTAATTCTACTAAATTATTATTATTATTATTATTATTATTATTATTATTATTATTATTATTATTATTATTATTATTAATGATCTATTTGTATTAAACATTCTAGTATAGTTTGATGGAAAAGAATATAAATAATGTTTTAAATTTAGTGGAAATAAAATTTAATTTATTGTTGCGGAACGAGAATGAAAAAGTTCACCAAATATGATAATGATACCTTTCATTGTGAAAATTATACAATCACATTTTCAATTATTTTCTTGCGACAAACAATAGAGACTCCAAATATGTGACAAAAGCGAACCACCATTCCTAGTGACAAATGATTTGCTCAAAATAATTGAATCCTTAAAGCTTCAATTTAATTTGCACTAAGCAATTTTGTACCTTATATTATGGATACATGCTAGTTTTCGTGTATATGGCGTGTACCCTTTTTTTTTCTCAATTATATGAGCTCGAAAGTCGAATTAATTACTAATTAATATACTTAAATAGTTAGATTAAGAAAAGAAAGAAAATGAACAAATTTAAAATCTTCTTGTTTTATGTTTGTTTGATCTATAAATTGTACAAGGGACGGGATTTAAAAAATTTAAACACATTAATAAGCACAACTTTTACTTACTATGTCAAAATAAAATGTACCTTTCTTTTAATTTGTCTAATTATCAGTCTTAGCAAGTCAACCAAATTTCAGCCGTTTATTCATTTGTATAAATACCAGATGCTGCGAATCTGTTTGATTTCCTTTTTATAAATTCAAGCCAAGAACATCAAAGCTAGAGAGAAAATTAAAAAAGTGAAAGAGGCTTGAAGTATAAGCATCTGACTCAAAAAGATAGAAAATAATCAAGTAATTGAAAGAGGAAAGGAGTTGAGCTTTTTAGCAGCAGCAGCCATGGCGGATGAATTTCAATTAGGCAGTACTGGTAGCTGGTGGGATACATCTAGAAACAGATTTGGCACTACTTCATCAACACAATCTTCGACTTCTACAACGTTAAATAACAAGAAGAAATCAACCTTTGAATGGCCGACAGAAATGTCCGAGATCAAGCCGAGGTCTTCCATAGATTCTTCATCAGTTTTTCCATTTTCCAACAAGTTGCAAGAGCGGGATCCCAATCTACAAATGATGGGATTAGGCCTTTCTTCTCAAGGAATGGACTGGAATCACTCTTTACTGTAAGTATAATGAATTTTTCTTGGTGCCTTTTCTCTTGCATGAAAATATAGAATTGGTTCTTAGATTTTTTTTTGGGTTAATTTGGACAGTAGAAATGAAAAGGCTATGCTTCAAGAAGATACGAATTTTCAACAAGAAGCTGGGGAAGCATCTTCTCAAGACCAGTGGACTAGGCAGAAAATATATTCCTGCAGTGCTGAGGATTCTTCAATTATGAATGATTTTAAGCATATTAACCAGGGTTTTTCTTTAGACCAGCCAGAATACTGTTCTCAAGTGAGCTCTAGCGACGCTGGAAGAACAATATCTCAGGGCTTAACGACTAGTTTTCAGATGGATTCTACTGCATACGGCTTGTTATTATCCGAAAATCAGCCCCATCAATCCACGTATGAAAATCCGGCCATGAATTATCCGGGACCTTATCCAACTAGCTATGGGGCCAGCACGGGCGAGGTGTTTCCTTCTTGGTCTAAAAATCTGCCTTTTTTGAGACCACCCTCAGGCCACCTACACTTCACCAACAATACTCCTTTCTGGAATGCATCTGCGGCTGCTATGAATGACGTTCGATCGAGCTTCTTCCCGTCCCTACAACCGCAACTTCAAACACCGCCCTTTGACGAAAAACCAAAGGTAATTAATAGGGAGTCCAGATATATGCCTGCAGAGGCTGCTAATCTAGGCTTTCCCTTCTATTTTTCTTTAAATGTTAAAACTTGTGTCTGTTCTTTCGAAAGATCACAATGGAAACTCGAGATGTCGGTATGATAACAAAGAAAAACACGACGGAAACGTCAAATAAAAGACCTCGGAATGAAACCCCATCTTTTAAGGTATGCATAATAAGGTTTTGAACAAGATATTGTTTTAAATTTCACTTCCTCTTTTCATTCATAACAACAAATAAGAACATGTAGCCTTGTTGTGTTCTTGATTAGGTAAGGAAAGAGAAGATGGGGGACAGAGTCACCGCACTTCAACAATTAGTTTCGCCTTTTGGAAAGGTAACTTAGAAAAAATTTCTTTACTTAATCCCAAAGATAAGTTTCTGTCTAAATTAAGATAATTTTTTCTTGTTGATTAAAAATAAATTTATTTCTCAGACTGATACGGCATCCGTGCTTTCTGAAGCTACCGAATATATAAAACATCTCCATGATCAAGTCAATGTAAGTATATATCATACAACTACTTAACCAAATTAATCTGTATAATAAATACGTGTTTTTGTGTACATTATCAGGTGTTAAGTACGCCATATTTCAAAAGTGGAGCTCCCTTACAGCACCAGCAGGTATTCAATTTCATTTGATCTTTGCTACCAGTAAATTAAACTAATTTTTCTTATCTATTATGCAGAACTCTAAATCCAGTGATCCAGATCAAGGGCAGGCGCAAGATCTTAAAAGTCGAGGACTATGTTTAGTACCAATTTCTAGCACTTTCCCCGTCACGCACGAAACAACAGTTGATTTTTGGAATCCTACATTTGGAGGGACTTTCAGATAAAGAAGCACAAGATTAAGCCAACAAGAAGATATTATCAAACCCTATACAAAATTAGGAAAAGAAAATTAAATAATAACAATAATAGTACTGTAATAATTGAAGAATAATTATTAAAGATTGTTTAGGAATGATGAGTAGAGGTATAAAATTTAGAGAAAGTGTTGGTGTTAGTTTAGAAGGAATTTGTTGTCTGTAGCTGAATTTAGTTGATAAAGGAGCTTTTGTTTCTGCATCTGTTTTGTGCATAGAGCTGGCATTTTTTACTTTAGTTGTAAAGAAATGAAGGAATAATTGAATTCCAGAACAGGAGTGAGTGAGTGTGTTGTGTGATCATTTGATTAGAAATCTCACTTTGCAATTGTTTATATGCCTGGAATATGTTAGTGGAAGTGAGGGCTTGGCCCATGTCACCATACCCCCCACCCCTACTTCTAGAGGTTTTCTTGTTTCTTATTTTACCTATTCTGAGCTATCAACCTTGGCTTTGTGCTTTTTATCGAATGGTCACATTGAAATGCTTCTATTGGAAGGTGAAGAAAAGCACGAGCTAGTCTTGAATAAACAGAGTTTTCTTATAGTAGTTTTATGTTACGTGATAGCGTTTTGATTAACGGAAATTTACAAGAATTGACTAAAAGTATGTGTACCGTGCACATGTATAACACCATCGAGGCAGACCACTCACGTGCCAAGCAACATATCGAGATGACGACGAACGATGGCCATGAACATTGTTTCTCAAAGACTCGCCAACCTCAATAATCTAACTTATTTTTGTGCATCTTAACACAACATTGTCCTCCTAGAGGCTCAAAAATATATAATTAAGGGATATGTAATGATAGTAGCATATCATATGATGGACACATAGGCGAATCATCAAGTACCATAGAATTTTTACATCTTCCTTTTATATATCTTTACTTATGAGCATAGATTACCACAAAAAGAAATTAACGTGTCTTTTGTATGACCTAACTTAATCCCTAATCACATGAAATTATTTCACATAGATCCAGTTTGATTGTCTATACATACACTAAAATAGGATTTTCAATTTTGCTCAGTTAAATGACAATCATTAAACACGTGATATTTTAATGGTTCGATTGAAAAATGTAAATAAATTATGGATTCACTCACTAATTAACGTACTCAACAAAACCAGAGTAAAGAGATGAGCTCGAACAAATAATAATACATAGAGCATATTTGATACAATACTACTCGACACGATTTTATAAACAATATATTGGCAAAGTGAAATGGTGTTTCTATCATGTTAGCATCAACAATTTAATGCCAAAACACCAACCAACATACTACACTATCACTGGGACTTCAAGTATATTATCTTAATTTGCTAATGATTGTCTAGTGCACTTGGGAAATATAATGCACTAAAAGAAGAAAATTTTAGGCCAACACATAATGACTATTTGATAATTTCCTAGGATAATCAATAAGTAACCTTATAATTAGGGCTGGACAAAATTTAAGTCGAATCAGTCAAATTGATCAACCCAACCCAAATCAACCGATTTGGATTTTTTTTTTAGTTCAATTGGATTGGGTTAAGAAATCAAATTTTCGGTCAAGTCGGGTTGGGTTCCTGGTTATCTAACCCAACCCAACCCAACCCAACCCAATAAATTAAAAAATATTAAAAAGAAAATTAGTATTTGAAACCAAAAACATAAAACCTAACGATCAAAATTCTCTTCTGCCTCACTTCTCTTTTACCTCTCATTGCTATTCGTGCCTCAACTTCTCAACTCAATTTTTTGATGAGATTTTTGACTAAACACTTGGATTGAAGGAGGAGATTTTGTATTGAGTTCGAATGATTTAACATTTTTAGTATTTATGTTGAATTCATTTTATTCAATATGTATAATATGCAAGTATTCAACATGTAATTAAATTGATTTAATATGTATTTAATTTGATTATGATATAATCTATTTAACATGTTTACAATGTTTTTAATTTATATCGTTCTATTGAAATTGAACTTAACCTCACGGACCATTAATCCAACTTTAATCTACTTAAGGCCTTTCAAATCACAATTTTTAACGAAATTGATCCAAATTTAAATGGTATTAAACTTTTAAAAAATTGTTCATATTCAACGAAAAAANGTTAAATGACAATCATTAAACACGTGATATTTTAATGGTTCGATTGAAAAATGTAAATAAATTATGGATTCACTCACTAATTAACGTACTCAACAAAACCAGAGTAAAGAGATGAGCTCGAACAAATAATAATACATAGAGCATATTTGATACAATACTACTCGACACGATTTTATAAACAATATATTGGCAAAGTGAAATGGCGTTTCTATCATGTTAGCATCAACAATTTAATGCCAAAACACCAACCAACATACTACACTATCACTGGGACTTCAAGTAGATTATCTTAATTTGCTAATGATTGTCTAGTGCACTTGGGAAATATAATGCACTAAAAGATGAAAATTTTAGGCCAACACATAATGACTATTTGATAATTTCCTAGGATAATCAATAAGTAACCTTATAATTAGGGCTGGACAAAAATTAAGTCGAATCAGTCAAATCGATAAATCGATCAACCGATTTGGATTTGTTTTTTAGTTCAATTGGATTGGGTTAGGAAATCAAATTTTCGGTCAAGTCGAGTTGGGTTCTTGGTAACCCAACCCAACCCAATAAATTAAAAAATATTAAAAAGAAAATTGGTACTTGAAACCAAAAACATAAAACCTAACGATCAAAATTCTCTTCTGCCTCACTTCTCTTTTACCTCTCATTGCTATTCGTGCCTCAACTTCTCAACTCAATTTTTTGATGAGATTTTTGACTAAACACTTGGATTGAAGGATGAGATTTTGTATTGAGTTCGAATGATTTAACATTTTTAGTATTTATGTTGAATACATTTTATTCAATATGTATAATATGCAAGTATTCAACATGTAATTAAATTGATTTAATAGTATTTAATTTGATTATGATATAATCTATTTAACATGTTTACAACATTTTTAATTTATATCATTCTATTGAAATTGAACTTAACCTCACGGACCATTAATCCAACTTTAATCGACTTAAGGCCATTCAAATCACAATTTTTAACGAAATTGATCCAAATTGAAACGGTATTAAACTTTTAAAAAATTGTTCATATTCAACGAAAAAAGGTCCCAATCATTGGGCTCATACAAAAATTGTCCAACTTGAATTGTACTAACCCAAACCAACCCGAGATTGGCCAGGTTGGATTTGGTTGGATTTCAACCGTGATGAATTGATTTCGATTTGAATTATTATCAAACCGAACATATTGAATTGAGTTTGAGTTGGATTCAAAATCAATCTAACCCAACACACGCCCAACCTTACTTATAATACATGTTAATGATTATGCTATTAGGCCCTTATTTGATTCACATTCTTAAGGAAATAATGCATTTTAAATAGTGATGTGATGAAAAATATATGATTAAAAAAGAAAGAAAAATTTTGAATTTGCGAGTAATATTATTTATTAAAGATTATGCAGTTGAAAATGAGTATTGAAAGAATAAATTTCCTTTAGAACGTGGATCAAACATGGGCTATAGACGTAAAATCAATCATAGCAAAATTAAAAAACCATCAAAATGAACAATCATTAAACCAATCCAAAAAAGTCTGATTGTGTAGAGAAAACCCAAATTCAATTTCGATCAAATGGACTACAAATTGTTACAAGGAAACCGATCTAACTTTCAATATGACGGACTTCAGAACATCATTATATCGTACCATGATCTTGAACCAAATGCACAACAACTAACATTATTAGGGAAACAAACTTTTAATCATTAAGAGAAACCATTGTACTGAACATCATCAACGTACAAATTGCGTGCCAACATAGCAAGAATGATAGTTTCAATCACACAGAAATAATATGTAGATAATTCTACTGCAAAGGAAAAAAATGTAAGAATGCAAACTGTATTTCTGTATCAGGAAGAGATTAGGCAGCTCCCTTCAGTTTCTTGGTGATGATGGCAATGTATTTCCCTTGGTGAAAAGCCTGTTCTAATTCAAGCTCGGATGGCTGTCTTGATCCGTCACCAGCAAAAGTTCCAGCACCATAAGGACTTCCGCCTTTAACTTTCTCCATTTCAAACATGCCGGCTCCGAATGTATATCCAATGGGCACGAATATCATTCCATGGTGAACAAGCTGAGTGATAGCAGTCAACCTGTAAGAATTCGAAGAAACAGAGTTGTCATCACGTTACTTGGTTTTTGCTTCCAGAAATTTAGGATGTTTTCTAGTTACATAAAAGATGGAGAATTTACGCAGTAGTTTCTTGTCCCCCGCCTTGAGATCCAGTGCTGTAGAAGATCCCAGCAGGTTTCCCAGCAAGCTGTTGTGTTCTCCATAGGCCTCCAGTTGCATCAAGAAATGCTTTGAATTGGGCAGCCATCATTCCGAACCTTGTGGGAAAGCCAAATACAAAGCCATCAGCCTCGGGAAGTTCACTAGGTGTTATGATAGGTACATCACTCTTTGGAGGTGCACTCATTTTCGTTAGAACCTCATCTGGTAATGTCTCAGGGACCTGTACAACGTGGAAGACACAAGTAGCAGAACATTAAAGTTATTTTCTTTAGGATAAACTGGGAATCACTGTCAAGAAATTCATATAGTTTCAATGAGATCTTTTGAATGAAAGAAGTAAAAAGGGTTATCATCGTGTCTCTTGTGCTACAGTGTTGCAGTTCTGAACCCATGGAGAAATTAGTCTCAATGTAATAGCATCCGTATTGGTTTTCACAATTTAAAAGAACCTTATGGCATAATTTCCACCATGTATGGTCCCAGTTCACTAGTCCCCAATATGGAAAAAGGGAAAAAAATGCCACAACCATTAACAAGAGAGTAGAGAAGAAAAAAGAACAATGAAAATCAATAGTGCCTGTTATGCATCACTTCAGTAGGGGGTAATTGAAGAAGCATGAGCAAACAGTTATATAATATATGCTAACGATAGCTACATGTAATGGATGAAATATGCAGCAAAGTTCTAAAAGAAAATAACCCTTGTTGAAAGAACTCAACAAGCCAATATATAATATAGGCATCACCCAATAAAGCCCCCGTTTGATTGCCATTATTTTGAGAAAATGGAGTTTTGAATAGTGATTTTCTTGGAGAAAGTGTGATTAAAAAGTATGGAAAAGTTTTGGGTTCACGCGCAAAATATTTTATTGTATAAATGTGTGGTTGAAAATGAGTATGAAAATTAAAGAGTTTTAAAATAATAGTTGTCAAACAGTGGCAAAATAGCAAAGGGGGTGCGGGGGGTAGGATGAAAATTGCTTAAAATGCGAAACCAGATTTCCAACTAGTGAAAGATACATAAAATAAGAAGTGATAATTGGTAAGCAGCCAAGAATTATCACACGAACTACATCAACATGACTTTGAAGTATGAAGAACAAATACAGTATTAAACTGACAAACACACTAACAATGTGGGATTTGGGTGTGATAAACCACCTAAAGTAAAGACTCATTCACTGATTTTCCTTACTTATCATCTCATGACCAAACTTACAGCTTCACTCAGCCAAATTAGTTACAGGACAATTTAAAGTAACTAATCCATACTAGAAATGCTCTGCTCGCGGTGACCTACAAATATTCATATTTTCTTTTTTCAGTCATTCTATTAGGTTTTATTGAACCACCTAAGCTGAAAACTTCAGTGGTTTAGGGAGGCATGAATCTATTTATTTATTTATATTTGTATCTTCCATCCCTCACACTAACATGGAAATTATTTTCTTTCAAAGGCCTGACTAACTGAATTTACATAAACGGTTTAGCAAGACTTGAAATCAGAAGGTTTACGTGCTCTGATAACACATAATCTGAAAGCTCAAGGAGGGAATAAAATTATTTCTTTATATTTGTATATTCAACAAGTTCATTCTACGGTATGTTTCTCTCCTTTCTCCCCAGGTAGAGATATAGGTAGATATTTAATTCAAATTGTTCACAGTCTGCTGGCCTTTGATTCCACCTTAATGAAATCCAGCATACCAATTGGGACACAGTTCCAATTTACAAATATGATAAAACCACTAACAAAATGATATATAGACCTGAAGTATGCAATTCAAGATTCACTCAATGAAAATGTCAATGATAATAGATGCTTTCCTCAGTTATTTATTTTATTTTAATTTTTTCAGTTTCCTTATTAAGTAATCCAATGAAGGTCTGATGGCAAAGATATTTTCTACCTGCCATATTTTAGCTTCAACTCCTTCAACAGATGAAGCCCCTTTCTTTATTTCTTCGGCCAGTTTCTCTACATGCCCATACATAGAATAGAACCTATAAGAGTAGGAAAACATATCATGAATATTTATTAAAGGCCCAGAAAAGAGAGAAGAACGGAGAAATTACATTTCATTCAATTCCTATAAAAAAATCAACATTGCATGTAACAATAAACTGAAATAATATACTTGTTTCATTTGAGGCATCACTTGGATTGATGGAATAAAAATAAAGAATTTTAACAAAAAATTCTCTTGGCTTGATGGAACCATCATGTGCAAGCATTTTGGCTCAAGCAAGACCTTCTCTCTTTGAACACAGCTACAGCTTTTACTGATAGATCATTCTTTTAAATAGTCTAACCCTTCCAGAACTTCCTGGTTAATGTTGATACTGTTTAAATGAGCACATGATTGTCTCATTCTTTTTGTGCAAATAGAATAATAAATTTTTAGATATATAAAAGACAGAACAGAATGAACCAACAGGGAATTCTCATCAACTATATGTGACACTATCTACTAATTTGCAACAACACATGTAGCAGCTCAGTAGGGAAAAAATTACCAGGGTTCTCATCCAAACATAAATAAGTAAAGCTGATTGTGCATCTTGAATTCAGTCATTTTCAACTTGAAATTATACCATAAATCGCGGGTGATATGTGGCAGTCTTAATAACACTAGCAAGAATAAACTAACTGTGACAGATAAAGACACTGTATAAGATAAGAGATTATAAAATCCAATCTGAGGGACCAAATTTGGCCACAAAACAGAATTACAATGTAGACACAAATTGATGCATCAGGAGATCTAGGAAACCAGTAAAATAATTTCGGGAATGAAGACAGACAATTTTTCTAGTTTTCTAAACTTGCGACAAACTTTTCTTTATGCCTTGCATTTTAAATATACACAGAAACTGCAATTCAGCCTCATTACAAGGTCTTTAAGATGTAAAAACAAAGGTTTTCTTGTATGTTGCAAATAACCGAACTATCAAGGCCACATAAATTCATTGACAGGAAGCAATTTAGAATGGTAATTGCAACAAATATTAGTAAAAGATGAACTTCAACAAATAAGAGATTGGTCTACCAAAGAAAATCAGCAAAATAGATGTGGTTCCAAAATTGTACTACTACATGTTGAATTGTTGAACCGCTTGATCTGAAAGTTTAAGATGTTAGATAGGGTCAAAATAGAACCTATAAGAGTAGGAAAACAGATCATGAATATTTATTAAAGGCCCAGAAAAGAGAGAAGAACGGAGAAATTACATTTCATTCAATCCCTATAAAAAAATCAACATTGCATGTAACAATAAACTGAAATAATATACTTGTTTCATTTGAGGCATCACTTGGATTGATGGAATAAAAATAAAGACTTTTAACAAAAAAATCTCTTGGCTTGATGGAACCATCATGTGCAAGCATTTTGGCTCAAGCAAGACCTTCTCTCTTTGAACACAGCTACAGATTTTACTGATAGATCATTCTTTTAAATAGTCTAACCCTTCCAGAACTTATAACAAAAATTCCATCCTGGTTAATGTTGATACTGTTTAAATGAGCACACGATTGTCTCATTCTTTTTGTGCAAATAGAATAATAAATTTTTAGCTATATAAAAGACAGAACCGAATAAGCCAAGAGGGAATTCTCATCAACTATATGTGACACTATCTACTAATTTGCAACAACACATGTAGCAGCTCAGTAGGGAAAAAATTACCAGGGTTCTCATCCAAACATAAATAAGTAAAGCTGATTGTGTATCTTGAATTCAGTCATTTTCAACTTGAAATTATACCATAAATCGTGGGTGATATGTGGCAGTCTTAATAACACTAGCAAGAATAAACTAACTGTGACAGATAAAGACACTGTATAAGATAAGAGATTATAAAATCCAATCTGAGGGAACAAATTTGGCCACAAAACAGAATTACAATGCAGACAAATTGATGCATCAGGAGATCTAGGAAACCAGTAAAATAATTTCGGGAATGAAGACAGACAATTTTTCTAGTTTTCTAAACTTGCGACAAAGTTTTCTTTATGCCTTGCATTTTAAATATACACAGAAACTGCAATTCAGCCCCATTACAAGATCTTTAAGATGTAAAAACAAAGGTTTTCTTGTATGTTGCAAATAACCGAACTATCAAGGCCACATAAATTCATTGACAGGAAGCAATTTAGATTGGTAATTGCAACAAATATTAGTAAAAGATAAACTTCAACAAATAAGAGATTGGTCTACCAAAGAAAATCAGCAAAATAGATGTGGTTCCAAAATTGCTCTACTATATGTTGTATTGTTGACCCGCTTGATCCGCTTGATCCGGATGTTTAAGATGTTAGATAGGGTCAAATGTATATCATTTAAATATTATATTAAACATACCCGCACATGTAGGCGGGACTATTTATTCCCATTAAAAGCCTTACACATGTACAATTTTTAACAAATGGGCGTTGGCGAGACTTGAACCAGGAACTTTGCTTGTTGTGATGTATCATGTTGAATTATTTGATCTAAAAGCATAAGGTGTTACATATGATGAAAAAGCATAAGGTGTTAAATATTATCTTCAAAGCTATCATCACAATCAAGAATTATATAGACCGGTCTTAAATTTTGTTCTACCCAATAGAAATTCATATTTTGATCAACTATTATTCAAGTGAATTTTGACAAGATCAAATAAGTTAAAAAAATTTAGGTGATGAGTGAAAGAGGAAATAATCCTCTATTCTACAGCTAATTAAAATTCATTTTTCTTCCAAAGGGATCGGATTCAAATAAGAATAATTAAAAAAACAAATCTAGAATCATTGAAGAATATTTAGCAACAAGCAAGAATAAGAAGCAGTTCAGCATCAGAAGATTATAAATTGACCACAAAAAAAAAAAACAATTAAAATATACAACAATTACAACAACCAAGCACAACTAAATGCCAGACCTGTAATACGATTTCTAAAAATAGCAAAAAATTAGGGGGGAAAAAAACAAGAAAACAGCATCAAGTTCTAAATTTACATTTAAAAAGAAAAAAAAATCAAATATTGAAGAATTACAACAAACAAACACAACTAAATGACAAACCTTTAATTTCCATCTCCTAAATAGAAAAAAAATGGGGAATCAAAAAAGGGGAAGACGCAACTAAAGTCTACAAAAGATCAGAAGAATGAAATAATTAATACTCACACAATATAAACTTTCGTGGCCATCTGATTCCAAGCTTTCTTGTTTCTTTTTCTCGGAGTGGGTGACGATTGGGACTTGGGGAGTGTGTAGAATAGCTGGCCCTCGTATTTATATTAGTCGGGTTTTGAATAACCTTAGTTACACTTTTTTTTTTTTTATAGAATAATGCTATTCATATCCAGTGAGATTGTAATTCGAGTCTATGTGACTCTAAATGATTAGTTAAATAAAAGGTAAAATTAAATGATTTATTTAATTTCACATATCATTTAACGCCACATTAATGTCACCTACACTGTGGTTGTAACCCCAGTGAGACTAAATAACATTACTCATTTTTATAGAATATTGTTATTCATCTCCAGTGGAATTGTAACTTCAGTCTATGTGACTCAAAATGATTGGCTAAGTAAAAGGTGAAATTAAATGCAACATTAACGCCACCTAGATTGAGGCTGTAACCCCGGTGGGACTAAATAACATAACTATTTTTTATAGAATAATATTATTCATTCCCAGTTGGGTTGTAATCCGAGTGTATGTGGCTCTAAATTATTGGTTAAGTGAAATGTGAAATTAAATGATTTATTTAATTTCACATATTATTTATTGTCACATTAACGCCAATTAGACTGGGGCTGTAACCACGATGAGGCTAAATACCATTACTCCTTTTTATAGAATAATGCTATTCAACCCCAGTCTATGTGACTCTAAATAATTGACTAAGAAAAGTGAAATTAAATGACTTATTTAATTTCACATATCATTTAATGTTACATTAATGCCACCTAAATTGAGGTTGTAATCCTAGTGGGACTAAATATCATTACTCTTTTTTATAGAATAACATTATTCATCCTCAGTGAGGTAGTAACCTCAGTTTGTGTGGCTCTAAATGATTGGTTAAGTGAAATTAAATGATTTATTTAATTTCACATATCATTTAATGCCACATTAACACCACCTAAACTGAGGTTGTAACCCCAGTGAGGCTAAATGACATTACTCTTTTTTATAGAATAATGCTATTCATCTCCAGTGGGATTGTAACCTCAGTCTATGTGGCTCTAAATGATTGATTAAGTGAAATGTGAAATAAATAACTTATTTAATTTCACATATCATTTAATATCACATTAATGCCACCTAAATTTGGTTGTAACCCTAGTGGGGCTAGATAACATTACTCTTTTTTATAGAATAATACTATTCATCCCCAGTGGGGTTGTAACCCAAGTCTACGTGGTTCTAAAAGATTGACTAAGTGAAATGTGAAATTAAATGGTTTATTTAATTTAATCTATCCTTTAATACAATATTAACGACACCTAAACTGGGGTTGTAACCTCGGTGGGGCTAAATAGCTTTAGTGCCTGTTTGTCTCCCATTATTGTGATGAAAATGGTGTAATGAATAGTATTTTTTGGAGAATGTGTGGTTAAAATTGAAAGAAACTTTATCGGTTTATGTGTAGAATATTTTATTATTTGAATGTGTGGAGCCACCTAAATTGAGGCTGTAACCCAGGTGGGACAAAATAACATTACTATTTTTTATAGAATAATGCTATTCATTCCCAGGTGGGTTGTAATCCCAATCTATGTGGCTCTAAATTATTGGCTAAGTAAAAGGTGAAATTAAATGACTTATTTAATTTCACCTATCATTTAATGTCACATTAACGCCAACTAGACTGGGGCTGTAGCCATGGTGGGGCTAAATACCATTACTCATTTTTATAGAATAATGTTATTCATCTCCAGTGGGGTTGTAACCCCAGTCTATGTGGCTCTAAATGATTGACTAAGAAAAGTGAAATTAAATTTCACCTATCATATAATGTCATCTTAACACTACCTAGATTGGGGTTGTAACCCTAGTGAGGCTAAATATCATTACTCTTTTTTATGGAATAATGTTATTCATCCTCAACAAGGTTGTAACCTCAGTTTATGTGGCTCTAAATGACTGGCTAAGTGAAATGTGAAATTAAGTGACTTATTTAATTTCACATGTCATTTAATGCCACATTAACGCCACCTAAATTGAGATTGTAACCCCAGTGAGGCTAAATGGCATTACTCTTTTTTATAGAATAATGTTATTCATCTCCAGTAGGGTTGTAACCTTAGTCTATGTGACTCTAAATGATTGGTTAAGTGAAATGTGAAATAAATGACTTATTTAATTTCACATATCATTTAATATCACATTAACGCCACCTACATTTGATTGTGACCCAGTGGGACTAGATAACATTACTTTTTTTATAGAATAATTATATTCATCCCCAGTGGGGTTGTAACCCAAGTCTACGTGGTTCTAAATGATTAACTAAGTGAAATGTGAAATTAAATAACTTATTTAATTTAATCTATCATTTAATGCCACATTAACGACACCTAAACTGAGGTTGTAATCTCGGTAGGGCTAAATAACTTTACTATATTTTATAGAATAATGTTATTCATCCCCAGTGAGGTTGTAACCTCACTTTATGTGGCTCTAAATGATTGGTTAAGTGAAATGTGAAATTAAATGACTTATTTAATTTCACGTATCATTTTATGCCACGTTAACGCCACCTAGATTGGGGTTGTAACCACATTGGAGTTAAATATCATTACTCTTTTTATATCAGTTACAGAGGCCAACCCACTCATTTGAGATAAATTTAGCCACTACTGGATACACATTTTTTCAAAATTCATTTTAAACCACACATTTTTCAATAAAATAATATTTTTCATCATATCAATAATTTTTTTTTTACTTTTTAACCACATATTTCTCATTATATTTCATCAATAATGTCCATCAAATATACCCTTTAGCAGACACTGGGTGACTTAATGATGATGTATTATTGTCAAGCCCATAATTATTTTTCTTTTCCTTTTTTTTCTTTATTTATATATAAGAGCAGTTTCGATGCATTTATTTTCCAAGATGTACAAATGGGTGTAGTTTTGGAATAGCAAAAAATTTTGGATTCAAAATTAAGTAAAGTAGTATCTTGTGATTAGAAATTGATACGACATCCGTTTGACAATTTGACCCTCATTTATTGTAAAAAAAAATTAGGTTTATAACAAAATAAAGCCTGTCAAACACACACTAAATACTAAATATTCCTTATCTTACTTGATCAAATGAAAAATCTCGAGCATACTCTTATTAATAATGTAATCGTCGAGATTAATTGGATCAAGTTGGCTTGCACTATCTATTTTTATACCCCTTATTCCTCATTAATGTCTCTTTAAGCAAAAAAAACTTTCAAAAAATGAGATTATTTTTTATTTCCTCTCACTACATTGGTTGTTCTAAAGAAATGTCCTCTTATCTTTTATGTTCTTATTTAAATCAGAAAAAGGTAAACTAAAAGTGAAAGAAAAAGTAAAATAAATTGCAAAGTAAATGAGATTTGGTAAGTGTAACATCAACTTATAAGGCAAGTCAATTTGTTTGACGGGTCCAGTTGTGGGGTCAACTAGAATATGCTATTAAAAAACTGAAATTGACGCACTGTCACGCACACAGTGTGTGAAGTAAAGAAAATTAGTTTGATTGTGATCGACTTTTTGAGGAGAAATGTGACGTCCTACGTTTGTTTTAGGTTGAAAGTTGACCAATTTTCTTAAATTATTTATTAAGCAAAATTGTGAAGAAAAACCCCACAACAAATTAAAATAATTTTCATATATTTGGCAGTATATAAATTCAATAATCAATTAATTAATGAATTTTATTTTGTTATTTTGGCATGCAAGCAATCTCTTTCCCACCATTTCTTTAAAGGGGCATGATATATTTGACAAGAGTATATCATTTCTCACTTCACTTTCAGCATTAGTAAGAATCACGTTTGATCATTCACATTGTGGAATGTACATTGAGTTTTTTTGGTAGTCATCACATATATAAAAGAAACAACTTTAGAGCTCCAAAGTCTAAAATTCCTCCATAATGTTCGTCAATAGAAAACGAATAGATCTAAAGTGATGTTCAGTGGCATAACAATGGAAAAAATGAAGAGAGAATTCTCGGAAATGTGGGTTGTATTGGTCCAACCCTACCCCGTCTAACATTTGAGATGAATGTTGAACTAAGATATTACTCCTCTTTTTCTCGATTTCACATAATTTAATAGGACAAAAAAAAAAAAAAAGGGGGATGTGCATCAAATCTATTGAGGATTATATGGCATTGTTTTTTTTTGCCTCAATTTTCAGAATTCATGATTACTACTTGGAGTCGGAGAAGCAAGGCCAAGAAAGGAATGAAAAAATGGTTTTCTTTTGCTTCACGAATATATAAAATAGATGGCAACTCCCAAATTATTTCAATTTTTGTTTGCCTTGCTTAGGAAGCCAAAGATAGAACCAAGTGTCATCTTTTGTTTTGTTTTGGACAATTCCTATTCGTTTAATTCCTAATGATTTTGTACGACAACATGAATCAGAAGATTGTCGGGTCGGGCTTGAATGGGAATGGAAGGTATAATTCCTACTTGCCAATTGACTTGTTCAGCAAGGAAAATTTAAAAAAAATCCAAAGTAAAAAAAATATATTTTTGACAGAAAATTAGAGTTTTAATGTACAATAGAATGAATAAGATTTGAATCTACTTTACATTACAATATACCAAACATTTCAAGGGACGCTTGAGTTTCAAAACAAATAGCATTGAATGGGTGAAAAAATTACTTGACTAACACCATTTTCTACTCGAGAATCAATATGTCACCGAGCCTCCAACAACGTAATTGAAGAATATTTGACCGAACTTGGTTCACCGTTGCTTGATGGAGGACGCGTTGCAGCTGGAATCATATCTATAAGTAAACCGGGGTGCTTTGGTTGAGACAATGTACTTTCTCCATTTAACATCAGAATCACTGATGACATTGTTGGCCTATCTTCTGGAGATTGCTGCACACACAAGAGACCTATGTGGATACACCTTAACATCTCAGGTCGATTGGTTGAATCCTTCAGCAATGGATCAATCAATTCAAGTGGCCGGCTTTCTGTCCACAATCTCCATGCCTGAAATAGAACAAATTTAACTCAGTTTGAACATGGGAAGGAATTTAAGATTACGATTTTTTATCACTTACATATCCAATAAGATTTTGATTTTGTGGATGATCAAATCCACGATTTTTCTTCCCACTGATGACCTCTAGAAGTAGAATGCCAAAGCTAAAGACATCGGATTTTACCGAAAACAAGCCGTAAGAAGCGTACTCTGGAGCCATGTAACCACTGTCAAGCATCACAAATGAACAATTTCATAAAATGGGAATAAAAACAAAGCAGATGTAGTAGTTGTGCAAATAAAGTTCTATATGGACATACTATGTTCCAACAATTCTTTTCGTAGTTTCTCCTCTCTCATCGCCTACAAAAATTCTTGCCATTCCAAAATCTGAGATTTTTGGGTTCAACTCTTTATCAAGTAACACGTTACTCGTTTTGAGATCTCTATGTATAATTCTCAACCTGGAATCTTGATGAAGGTAGAGAAGTCCTCGAGCAACTCCACATATAATATTGAAGCGCTTCGACCAATCTAATAGATTTGATCTGATTTGATCTGAAATTCATAAATAAGTTAGTTACTGTCCAACTTAATTTAAAAAAAAAAAAAAAAAAATGAATGATATATAAGTATCTTTTTAAAATTATTAATATGGATTAGCTCAAGTAAATTGCAGAAGAATCCTATCAGAATACAAACCAAAAATAAACGAGTCAAGACTTCCATTGGGCATGTATTCGTAAATCAATATTTTTTCTTCGTCTTCAATGCAACAACCAAGAAGCTTTACAAGATTTCTATGTTGTAGTTTTGCTATCAGTTTAACTTCATTCTTGAACTCGTTTAGTCCTTGTCCAGAATACTTTGACAGTGTCTTCACGGCAATGTTTTTCCCATCTTCTAGTGTGCCCTGAAAGTTATGAATTGTTAGAAAACTGAAGGATTCTCCTAGAAAATTAAATTTCTTTTCACTGCTCTATCTATTTACTAAGTTCAATAGAAGGTTAGTATTCCTCTTGGAATCATGCTGAGCTAACCTTGTAGACAGGTCCGAACCCTCCTTCGCCAAGTTTCATGTTTATAGAAAAATTCTGAGTGGCCAGAGATATAGTAGCCAAGTTAAATAAGGGTAGATCCATATCTTCTTCTCGACTTGCATCAGTGTCGTGTCCTCCAGTTTCCACTGTTTACATAATATAGTTGGGAATTGGTACAAATATGGTATCAAAGTCCATTAAGGCAATCGAGTGCACAGATATCAAGATTGATCTACTTAATCAAGCCACCATCTTGAAAAAATATATAAGAACTTGAGCTACTCCTCTTATCAAAATTGGCATTTTAAGATGGAACTTAGTCTTAATATAACTAAAGAAATTTTCTATTTATCATCTGATTTATTTTATAACTAAATCCTGCATTGCATTTCAAAGGGTTAGTGAATCTTGAAAGTTTACCTTTAGATTTCATCTTTCCCTTGCAAATACAGTAACTCACAAGAAGCACTCCACATAACCCAGCAATGGTAGCCACAATCACCACTATTATTTTCACTGGATGCCTGTTAGCTGTTAAAAAGGCGCATATTTTTTTTATCAGCAAAACAAGCAAGAAATGCAAGTTGATACTACATAGACTTTGCCAAGCTACTGCAGCCAAGAATGAATGACATACCTCTATTTGAAGCTGGCATTCTTATATGAAGATCTTGCCCACCATCAGGAAATTCTCTAACATCAACCAAATTGTTAAACCAAAGGATACATCCTCTGCCTCGTTGGCTACTATCTGAGTTTGCATAAGCAATACAAGAACAATTTTTCAAGCATTTCTCCCTGCATTCTTCAAGATTCATACTCGTGTTTACCCAAGAATCTGGAGTATCAGGCAGTTTCAAGCCTGAAAATTTTATAAAATCATGTTTCCTGTGGCAGTCTAGAGTCTCATTGCGGATGCATCCAAGTGACCAGTCCATTGAGTTCCAGCTTTGGGCTGACTTTGGTTTAAAACCTTTCAAACATCTGCAAACTGGTGAAAGATTGATGGAACATATTCCATTTCCGCCACATAGATCATAAGTGTCACAATAGTCTCGAGGTATTTCCGAATAAAGCTTCCAAGATTGATCTGCTTCCACCCATACATATCGTTGATGTGAAGATGTGGTTTCATTCAAAACAAGCCTCGAGATTACAGATTTGTTCTTGAGCTTATACATGTAGTAAACCTCCTCCTGGTTAAACTCGAACTTAAATTCAAATACTGGGTTGAGCCTTAATTCAGGAGCACCGCTAAATTGCAGGCCATTCCATGAACCACTTCGAAGGAACTTTTCTGATCCCTTCCGCATGACCATCTGAGGATATTCAGCAAGTTCTATTCCTTCACTTAGCATCCCAGGAGATGGGTCATCAGAATTCTTCCATGACGATAGTCTCCTATTAAGACCAGTTCTCATGTCCCACCCGAGCTTCATATCGGGTAACAAAGTATCAGATGGATAATCAAAGCTCTGCCACAGATAAACATTCATTTTTCCATCCAAGTTATCTCTCACGACAAGATTTCCCGAATCTAAAAGCTGTAATATTGGATCCTGAGCGCCCGCGCCCTTCGATGGTTTTGTTGACCAAACATCACTATTGTTCCCACTTGAAAGTACAAGACTACCGGTGCTATTGATCATCAGGGTGCCAGACAAATCTTTTATAGGGTTCTGTCTATTTGCAACCCAAACAACAGTTCTTATTTGGACGTTCTTGTACCAAATTCCCAAGTACCGATTCTCGGAATTACCTGGACTGAAAAAACCCAGTTCAAAACTCCCCCATTCTGAAACCAGTGTTTCACCATCATTGAGAGGTTGTGATGTAATGATATTGTCGGTCAAAGCCAATATTTTCAATAACGAACAAAGTAGGTGAATCAGACAGAATATAAACCTATTAGTATTCATACCATTTATCAAGATTCACTTTTGAAAAGCTTACGAATCCTCAATGGTGTGTTTAGTCGACCGTAAAACGCACAACATAACACAACTCTTGATTCTTTTTCGAAGAAGATGGTGGTCCTATATCAAAAGTTTCTTTATTATTGAAAAATCAGCCAACAGAGAAAAATCCTACCTGTTGAATTTTCAACTCCTTATCCAGATTGAAATCTGCTAGATGTACAGAAAGTAGTGGACAGAATTTCAACAGAATACATACATTTGTGTGTCTCGCGCCATTTTTTTCTTGGAAAATGCTAAAAGACCCGTGCAGGTGACCGCGGGGATGACTACACACCCACAATCGAGGCGGGGTCCCACATGAATAAAATAATATCGACCCCCCATGTGTGTGTGTGGACATCCCCGCGATCACCCACACGGGCACTGTAGCATGACTCTTTTTTCTTTTCTAAAGATAGGTGGGGCCCGCACAAATGTGTGTATTTTGGTGCAATTCTGCTGGGTTTCTTTCTGTACATGGGGATAAACCATCAAGATTACCGTCAACAGCTGAATGATATTTAAAACACATTGGATGTTATACTCCTAGGAAATCAATTTATTAAGGGGTGATAATTAGTGCTTATAGGCGGATAGGCAATTTCTTAACGCCTCACCTCTGAGGGCCCCAAAAATATTTTATTAAGTTTATTATATCTATAAATAATAAAGAAAATTTCTCAAAAAAAAAAAATTACATTCTTATATGACAATTTTTTTATATAAAAACTAAGGGTCCATTCTCTTTACCATTTTCAAGCCCTTTTTTGTTTTTGATTTTCCAATATAGTGAAAACGCGTTCTCTTTCCTATTTTCGAAAATTCGTTTTTGAAATTAAGTTAAAAATTTACAAAGAAAACACAAAACGACAAATTTGTCGGTTTGAGTGTTTTCAGTTATAATCAAGCCAAAATTTTCAAAATGCATTTTGAGTGTTTTCAAAATAATTTTTCAAAATACCAAAAAGAACAGATTTTCAATAATCTCATAATAAACACTCAAAAAAAAAAATCCAAAATGAATTCAAAACACAAAACCGAACGACAAAGAGAACAGTCCTTAAATGTTTTTTTTTTAAGGGAAAAATTCACAAGTAAGAAGATAACTATTGCCCATTTCAAAACTAAGAAAACATGTTTCAAATTTCAAAAATCAGATTTTTATTATAATGTATTTATGATTTAAATAATTAATTATATATTTATTAATTAAAAATATTAAAGTCACATATTTATACAATATGGTCACATATTCACGATTTAATGAGTTACATATTATTTTTCTGTCACAAATCATAATTTTTATAAGTCACAATTAATTTATGGTCACAGTTAAAAAAATTTATAGGTCACATTTTGTTTATCGATCACAAATCAAAATTTTTGTTGTTTCGAGGTCACAAATCAATAATTTTATAGGTCACAGATAAAAATATTATAGGTCACAGTAATTTATCAGTCACGTATTTTCAAATTTATTGGTGAGAGATTAATTTTTGTCACAAATTGTCGAATTTTAAGGTCACAGTTAGTCCATGATGCGATTTTTTGTGACCACCACCTCACCACTACCACCTGGCGCATCGTCGCCGCTGCCACCACCACAACCACCACTAACACCGACACCATCACCACCACCGTCGACCGCCACTTGTATCACCACTGTCTCACCAACAAAAAAAA